GAGAGAGAGAGAGAGAGAGAGAGAGAGAGAGAGAGAGAAAGAGGCAATAAAGGCTCAGGGTGGAATCTATTTAGTTTTTTAGTTTCGTTTCGTTTGTCATTGCACCTCGTTCAACTAAATTAAATACCATTTTGCTGGCAGCGGGAGGGGCGAACTTTGCAGGGGCTCAAAGCAGGAAGGAGACAAAAAGGGCAGTCCTTGGAGAGCCGGCTTCATGGGCCCATTTTACAGGGGAGGAATGCTGAGGCCCGGGGGGGGGGGGGAAGAGATCGTTGGCATAAAATCTGGGTGGAATCTCTTTATTTGTTTTGACTGGCTGGGGGGAAGAAGACTCTGTGGTAACCAAACAGCCAGGAAGGGAAGAGAAAAGCAGCTTGTACAAGAACTGGGCCCTCCCCTCTTTCTGTCTCTTGAGCCAGGGGGAAGGCATGCAGGGGGAAGTCGGCTTTCCCCACGCCTTCCCCACCATCTCCATGGTTACATCTCTCCCCCACTCTTTTGCTTTCACACACACACACACACACACACACACACAGCCCTTCCACCATCCTGCCCGCTTTTGATTGGGCTCTGCAAGTTCTCAAGAGCAGTTTGGAGAGGTTTGGCCCGAGCTGAAACTTTGAAGAAAGAAGGAAGCGTTCTCCCATCATGTCTCAGTGGGGCCTCTTTTTGTGACCCTTTCCAGGATGCAAGCCCAGCCACAGCATTGTGAAGGAGAGGAGGAGGAGGAGGAGGAGGAAGAAGAAGAAGGAGAAGGAGGAGGAGAAGGAGGAGGAAGCAACCACAGCTCATCAGAGGGTCCTTTCGGCAAAAGCCCCTTCCGTCTGACGGCCGAAGATGTCTACGACATCTCCTACATCCTGGGAAGGGAGCTGCACACCCTCGGCACCGAACCCCAGGCAGAGATGCCCGCCAGGGTAGCCCGCTTGCAGTTCAAGGTGGTCAGCATTCTGGAGATGTTGGAAGCCCTGGTGAGCGAGAGCCACCTGGCCATGGAAGCCCTCAAGCTGGAAAGGGACAGCTTGAAAAGGGAACTGGAGGATCTGCGGCAGCAGGTGACATCTGGCACCGCTGGAGAGGTAAACGGGGAGGGGTTCGGTGGGGGGGTGGGTGGGTGATGGAGAGGAGATCTGTCGGTGGATCTCTAGATTTCGGTCCTGTGGTTTCGCCCGTTTCAGATCCCAGTTGGGGAGGTGTTAGGATGTCTAGCCTGATGAAGAGAAGGACTAAGGGAGACATGATAGCAGCCTTTCAGTATATCAGGGGCTGCCCCAAAGAAGAGGGAGTCAAGCTATGCTGCAAAGCACCTGAAGGCAGGACAAGAAGCAATGGATGGAAATTAATCAAGGAGAGAAGCAACCTAGAACTCAGGAGAAATTTCCTGACAGTCAGAACAATTAATTGGTGGAACAGCTTGCCTCCAGAAGTTGTAAATGCTCCAACACTGGAAGTTCTTAAAAAAGATGTTGGATAACCTTTTGTCTGAAGTGGTGTGTAGGGTTTCCTGCCTAGGCAAGGGGTTGGACTAGAAGACCTCCAAGATCCCTTCCAACTGTTGTTATTCTATTCTAAAGATGTAGGGCAGAGATGCTTAAGCTGGGCAAGTTTGAGATGGGTGGACTTCAATGCCCAGAATTCCCTGGCTTCTCCAGAACAGGGCTCTCTCTAAACTTGTGGACTTGAAGATTTGTGGACTTCAACTCCCAGAATTTCTGAGGATCTGGCCTTCATTAGAGCATTAGGAGTCTCCAATCTTAGCAACTTTGAAGATTTGTGGAACTCAACTCCCAGAATTCTCTAAAATCTGGTTTCTTTGCAGCAGGCTCTCTCTAAACTTGTCGACTTTAAAATTCGTGGACTTCAGTTCCCAGAATTTCTTGGCCGGTATAGGTTCATAGCTGGCTGAGGAATTCTGGGAGTTGAAATCCACAAATTGCCAAATTTTGGAGACCGTTGCTTGGTCTATTTCTCTAGATCAGGGATCCCCAATCCTGGCCACTTTTAAGACTTGTGGGATTCTCCAGCCAGCATAGCTGACTCTCTTTGTAATCCCTTCCTCTGCAATCTCTCTCCATTTTAAGAGATTAAGAGAGAGAGAAAAGGCATGGCTGGCTGGGGAATTCTGGGAGTTGAAGTCTACCGGTCTTCAAGTGGCCAAGTTTGTGGATCCCTGATCTAGATAGCTCAGAATCAGCTGCCTGGGGACACCCTATTTCTCTCCAAGGTAGGGTCAGTTATGGCTGCCTTTGGCATGGTTTGGTGAAAAAGCTTGCCAGCTGTTGATGTGCGTCAGTCACAAGGCTGCTGGGTGGAAAGTTCTGATTTAGGAAAGGGAGGATGTAGAGCGTCAAGGAGAAAAGAGAAGTTCGTTTAGGTTTCAACTTTCCACCCAGTCACTATAACTATAAACTACCTGGTGCTTTTTAGCTTCTGCAACTATCACTTTCCATTATTTCAATTTAATTTGGGGTGGCTGTTTTTTTAACTTCAAGATCTGCCTTAAGCGCATCTTGAAGTTTGCAGGTGTTTTGCTGTGTATTTCCAAGCCACACCTCATCAGCGCAACTGGCCCAAAATCCTGCTGGATTTTTGTTTTTTGATAGAATGCAATTTTTTTATTTTTTATTTTTCCTTACCTCTCTGCCATGTTTCACATTGCCCCCTCTTAGCTCACCCTCTGTGGTGGAATGTAGCCTGGATTCCCAGCAGGGAGGGGCTGCATTCCAGAGGAGCAAGAGGCAACTCAGCTCAGATAGTTCGTGTGAGAGAAAGAGGGTGAAGACAGCTCCTGCTTAACAGTTCCCAGAGTGTACAGATAGACTTCAACTTACGACCACAATTGGGACAAGAATTGTCGCTAAGCAAGGTGATTATTAAGTGAATTGTGCCTGATTTTACAACCTTTATTTGCTACGGTCGTTAAGTGAATCCTGCAGTTGTTAAATGAATCCGGCTTCCTCCGTTGCCTTTACTTTTCAGAAATCAGCTGGAAAGGTGGCAAACGGCAATCACGTGAGCTCAGGAATGCTGCGACCTTCATGAATACTTTGCCAGGTGTGCGAAGCACCTGAGTTTTGATCATGTGACTGTGAGGATGCTTTAATGGATATAAGGAGAAGGGCTGGTCATAAGTTTTGTTTGTAACTTCAAATAAATCATTAAACCAATGGTTGTAAGTCGAAAAACCAAACAAACTACATTGAAGGAATTTCCACAATGGAACAGGAGGAGTAATTACCAACTTCAAGGAGAGAACAAGGAACAGTCTGTTGGAAGGATGCCAACCAAGATAACTTCAGCCCAAAATAACCCACCCTTTGCTTCTGGCAACGCTGTGTTGTAACCATCCCTCTTGTATACTATTCTCCCCAGCTGCAATTAATGAGGGGATCATGGCCGCTTCCTCTTTCATAAGCCAAGTTGTTTCCTTATCCGCTCCTCCCTGCGTGTCCTAGGATGAAGAGGGGATGGGCCTGAGTCCTCCTCTGCCCAGCCGGCCTCTGCCCTTCCCCAGCCTCCTCCACAACCTCCAGAGCCACACCTTCACTCCCTGTCGGCTGTTCCTTCTCTCCCTCAGAGTCCGACTCTACCAAGGGCATGACACTGGGTTTTGGGAAGCTGATTGCATCCTGCTTAAGAGCCCCGTTTCTGTTGGGGTCCATTTCACTGTTCTCTCCTCTCGTAGGTCAATCCGGGTCCCAACAAAATGATTGTGGACCTCACGGACGTGAACCGTCCCCGTTTCACGCTACAGGAGCTCAAAGACGTTCTTCAGGAGCGCAATCACCTAAAAGCCCAGCTTCTCTTTGCTCAGGAAGAGTTGGAGGGTTACAAGAGGTACGGAAAAAGTGCCATTTTTCATTGCAACGGACTGGAAACTGCAGCCTTCTGGGTTTGTGAGGAAACCAGGACTTACTTCAGGTCCATGGTATCCATTAATCCAGGGGTCTTCAAGCTTGACAGCTTTAAGACTTGTGGACTTCAACTCCCAGAATTCCTCCTCCGGTCATGTTAGCTCAGGAATTCTGGGAGTTGAAGCCCACAAGGCTTAAAACTTGCCAAGTTTGGAAGACCCTTGCATTAATCAATCATTCTGGGTCATCCATTCATGTTTTGGACTCCATTCTTTCCCACTGAGATGCCTTCAGCATGTGTGGGGGGGCTCGTCCTCTTATTTGGACAGCACAGTTGAATTTTGGAAGGATTATCTCCACCCGTGGCCATTCTATTCTAATTCTATTCTAATTTTAATGCTAATTTGTCTGAAATGGTATAGGCCTGTGATGGCGAATCTATGGCACGCGTGCCACTTGTGCTGTTTCTACTGGCAACGCGAGCCACAGGCAAACTTACCTCACTGCGCATGCGTGTAACTCACGGTGATTTTTTTGCTGTTGTTGTTGGTTTGAGGCCTTTTTCGGCCTTCCAGAGGCTTGGAAAAAACCTCTGCAAGGCTTTCCAGGACAAATAATAGGCCCTTTTTTGTCACTTCCTGTAATACCGGAAGTGACGAAACGGGGCTATAATTTGTCCTGAAATGCCTTGCAGAAGCTTTTTCCAAGCCTCTGGGAGGCGGAAAAAGGCTTCATACTAGCCGAAAACTCAGCTGTGAGGCACAGTGCATGCGCAGGGGGTGGCGGGAGGGGGGGTTGCGCGTGCATGTGCAGGGCGGGTGTGCATTGCATTCTGGGTGCTGGCAATGCGAGTGTGCTGGCGTGCACACAATTTTTGGCACAGGAGCCCCAAAAGATTAGCCACCACTGGTATAGGCTCTCCTGCTTGTGCAGAGGGGTTGGTCTAGAAGACCTCCAAGGTCCCTTCCAGCTCTGTTATTCTGTTAAATTCCTCATTCCAGGGGCCATTCGTATAGATCTTACCTATTTTGATTTATTATTTGCTAGAATAAAATCCTTTACAAGGTGCACAGGGGCCTTGTAAAGAGACCACGAACACGGAAGAACGATGACCAGCAATGGTTGCTAAAGCCCAAGAGTTAACCAGACTATGATTTACCCAATTAACCCCATATTGTCAGGCTGCTTTATCCTACATTAAACCATAAATGGAGAGTGTGGGTTGGCCCCACACCCTGGGATAAAGGCAGCTTGCTCTTTGTGAGTCAGCGTGTTGTGCAAAACCACAGCACAAGTGAGGAGGCGTGTGGGGGTTTGGCGTGTAAGCGGATTGCAATAAACAGCTTGTGTTTTTCATTTTCCTCCACTGCCTAGTGGTTATATTTCTCAGAAGCAGGAAAAGGAGAGTCCCACGCAAAGAGAACCCACGGTGGGCACACCCTCTGGCTCTGCTCGATTTAAAGAGAAAACTACAATCAAGCAATGGTGAGTACCGGTAACTTAGATTCCTGTTTTGAGAAGGGTCACCGGCCAGATAAAACCTTGCAGGAATGCCCCCACTAGCTGAAATTAAAATCAAGGCCTTTTAAAACAAGGGACAAGATTTCAATCTAAGCCAGTTTTTTTCAACCTCGTAGCAGCTTTTTAAGATGTCTGGACTTCAAAAAAATGAAGGAATTTAAGATAAGCAATTTATAGATTAAATGTATATATTTGCACAAATTATATATATATATATTTGTAAATATGCACAAAGGATAGAATTGTATGAGATTGATGTCACAGAACTGTTAATGCAATGATTATCTTTTTGTTTTTAAAAGATATAAAAGACTAATATTAAAGTTTATTAAAAAAAGATGTCTGGACTTCAAGTCCCAGAATTCCCTAGCCAGCTGGCTGGGGAATTCTGGGAGTTAAAGTCCACATTGTTCTAGGTCATTCTTCTTTATCACCAGTTCTCTGGAGAATCAGGGAGCAGCTAAAACGTCAGATGAGTGGCCCACATCCTGAATAAAATTAAGCAAGGCCTTTAAGACTGTGGGACAGGTACAAGTCCTCAGATTTCGTGTTTGCAGGGGGATTCTGGGAGTTGAAGTCCACATTATTTCAAATTGTAGGCGTCCTTAGCCAATCTCCTCTACCATCAAGTCCCTGGAGACTCAATTTATCCACACTAAGCCGAAATAAAAATCTACCTTTCACTAATTATTCTTTCCTTTAATAAGACCTTCAGAAAAATGCCTGTAATTTTCAGTATTTGGATTGATAAACGCTCCAGGTATTCAGTGTTCAAAATATTGGCTAGTGCAGAGAATTCCTTTGAAGTGATTTTTGACTTTTACACTTGGTTTAATCTTTAGGAATTCAGAATCTGTTCCTGCCACTCATACACACACTAACTCCTCCCTTCAATTGCAGGTTTGCCTTTAAAAAGTTACGGTGAACTATGTCTGCCCTGGGATGTCCCAAACTGGAAAGTCAAATTTTAAAAACTGGGGTAGCAATACTTGAAGACTGTTTCGCGATTCGTTGCGGCTGGTGGAGGCTTCAACCTCTGGTTTTATCCCAATCGGTTATCTTCTTGTTGGCATAAAGCTTTTTCAACCTGTGGCCTTCTCCAAAACTACAGGACTTTTAAGGTGGATGTTCTGATAATACTTTTGCCACGTTAAATTTTTATTGGAAATGTTTATATGTCTGCAGCCAGCAGAATAAAGTGACAAGAGTTTCTAGAATCCTTGAAATGATCTTTGCAAACATGACTTCCCAAGTTTTGTTTCTTTTTTCCCAGTTAAATTTTAATTTGAAATGCACCTCATTTAATAGAAATTAAAGAACTGTTTGCTCTTGTCTATCCAGAGCTTTCAGTCCCCAGTTTAGAGCGTTTATAATATCTAAGAGGAATGTGGTTTAAGACAATAGTTTTGTTACAGAGTTCATTTGATAGGAAAGCCAGGGATTCACAAGAAGAGACAAACCATGATTTGAAAAAAAGAAATACAAGAAAACCACCTCACACTGGTTCGTATGAACAATTGAGGCCTCTAGTCAGACACAAAAGGCCTTTGCTTTTAATAAATAGTTCACTTTATTTATCTTCTCGTACAGAGAAATAATTTTCTTCAGGTCATTCCTTTTTCATCATTTTTTAAAAAAAACCCACAACATCGCCCTTAGGTCCCCAATTTTTGTAGCGCCAGCATAAGCGTGTCGAGCTTTATTGAAATGGCCCTCTCTCTCTCGCCCTGCAAGAGTGTGACGCTCAGCTGGGACTACATTTCCCAGGATTCCCAGCCAGGTGTGCCATCCCCACCTCTCTGGAAAGCACCAGGTAGGCGCGGGGTGGTGGTGGTGGAAAAACAAATGGCATACGTGAATTTCAGGCAGAAAGTTAAAACTTGGAAAACATATTTCTCGATTCTGCCTCCTAATTCTTACGCATTTCAGAATTCTCTTCCCTACAAAGTGCTTTATTGCAGTTCCCCCACCCCAGGACGAGAGCTCAGAATTCTGGGACATGTAGTCCCAACCCACCCTTTCCGGGAGAGAATTCTGGGAAATGTAGTCCCAACCCACTCCTCCATTCCCTTCGCTCTGCTCCACTTTTGCCTGTTTCCACACGTTGGGGAACGCCGAGTTGAATAAACCTCCACCCAAATAGTTGATGCGGGAAGTTTCTCATTTCATCCTAAAACCCTCGGTTGCTAAAAGTCCCTGTTTAAGAACAAGCCCCCCTCCCAAATTCCATTAAAAGCCGTTTTTCCCCCTTCCTTCCTTTCCCAAAAAAAAAAAAGAGAGAGAGAGAGAGAGAGAGAAGGGAGCAAATACAGAGCACAGCTCAACTCCTCTGTTGGTTTTCCGACTGTCCCCCCAGAGCCAAGCAACGTGCTTCTCAACCGATACCCAAGCGGCCTACTTTGCAAACCTGGGGAGAAGAGTTTGGGTGGCGCCCAGAAAGCACCAAGAACCAAAACAACCGTGTTCAAACGGCTGGCCTCTTCTCCCAGCTGAGGAAATTGCAAAAGCAAGCATGCTGTTTGGAGCCAGTTAGGTCCCCACCTCGCCTCCCTGGCTCTGTTCCGCTTCCTTCCTCCGCTCGCCAGTGGCGATTTTTGGATGGCTCACAATAGCAAAAAAGATAAAATGGCGGACAGCACACACACACACACACACACACACACACAGCCAGATTCCCCGCTGTCACACAAGGAACAGGGTTCTTGAAAGACAAGGCGACCCTGGTCTCCACACCGCAACCTCTGTACTTCCTTCTTGACGACAAATCCAGTGATTCTCAGCAGAAGTTAAAACCGGTTTCCAATTTTCTTCCTCTTTCAAACGGGCTGCTTTGAAAAGACGGTTTTTTGGGGGGGTTCTTCCAACTGCTCTCATGAAGCAGAGTTCTTCATCTCCTGGCTGTTTAACAGAGACATGATCTTCTCCTCCAGCTTTTTGAGCTGCAGCCCGCAAAGCGGAGGTGATAATCCTGGACAAAGACCTCTAAGGAAAGCTTAGGTGGTCCTTCAATTGTTCTTGTTCGGCTTTCGCTGGTACCTGGCTAAGAAAAGGAGGCCAGGTTTCCTTCACAAAATCCATTCTTCACTCTTTCTTCGATTAAGTTTCAAGATTTAAAGTGTTGCATTGGTTAAAAAAAAAGTATCTGTAAGAGTGCAGAAATCCGAACGTTTCAGAGATTTCCATGCAGACGGGAAGAACGAGTCGAAGCAAGGGATCTCTGCGAAGCCGATGTGGAAGAAAGGAGAGAGAAGAAGAAGAAAGAAAGAGAGGAGGAGGAGGAAGGAAGGAAGGAAGGGGAGGAGGATGGGAGGAAGATGAGAAGGATGGAAGGATAAGTAGGGGGGATGGGAAGGAGAAAAAGGAGAAGAGGAAGAAGGAAGGGGAGGAGGAGGAAAAATAGAAATAACTATAATAATAAAATCAGGCCTTTCATATTTAAGTCTGTTCAGGTGAAGACTCCATCATCCCTGCTGGCTTTTCAGCTAGCCACGAAGGCATCCGCTAAGAGCTGCCAAGAAGTCCTTTTTAAGGAAAAACCAATGCTTACTCTCGTGCAAGGGATCCTCTTAGTGTTTCAACCAGGGATGGGCCTCCAAAGAAGCTTTGCTCCGATCCCCGTAATCGTACAGCAACTCCTCACCAGCTCTGATGTCCCGGGAGGCCACCAGTATGAGGTGGGGGACGCCACTGATGTCGTGGAGCTTCGTCTGACAATTCCCACACTTGCTGTGATTGACCAAACGTCCCAGGCGGTTTGTCTCTTTCGTGGCATCGACACTGAGGGGTGGATTTCAAGGGAAGAGAGAAGAAGAAGAAAACTCAGGAAGGCCTGATTTCTCTGGCCCAGTCATGTTGACAAAAACCTCTAAAAGAGGTATTTTAGTAGGGGGAAAAAACCCAGTTTCCTATTGTGCTGGCAAGCAGTTTGGATTTGTAAAGTAAGGGCGCCATTGTTCTAAACCAGGTTGAAGATGGGCGGACTTCAACTCCCAGAATCCCCCTGCCCGGACTTGCTGGCTAGGGAATTGTGGGAGTTGAAGTCCGTCCATCTCCACACATCATCGGAGTCCCATCAACCATAGAGTGTACGGGCTCTAGAGAAGCCAGACCCCGGGAATTTCTGGGAGTTGAAGTCCACCCATCTTCAAGTTTGCAAGGTTGAGAAACGCTATCGTAAACCGTGGTTTGTTGAATGTAACACAACGGACTGCATAACACGTCAGGCTTTTGAATCTCTGGTTTCAAACATCTCTTGATTGCTTCTCTTACTCTTAGTTTTACTTCTTTTATTAGGGTTGTTTTCTCATTTTAAGAGGGAAAAATGGTTTTCGGAGCAGGATAGGAAGGAAGGAGAGAGGGAGAAGGACTCTTACCAGAAAGTTTTACTCAAGTATTGGAAATAGTACATATAACAGCCCGTTGATGGGTCCTGGGCATAAGCCGCTTCCCGTTTCTTTGCATCCATAATTTCAATGAGGTCTCCATGATATTCGACCACAAATTCACCCCTGTTAAAATGCCTGGTTGCAATGACACCCCGGCCTTTACCGTCAATAAAATCAATCTGTGGAGGAAAGCAAAAGAAATTATTCATAAGGGAAATTCTTTTTTGGGGGGGGCAGTTCTTTGCACTTCGTTCGATGTAACGATCAAAAGGGCGAAAGTCGATTTGTAAACATCCTGGTTCCACTGAAAACAGTTAAACTGCATTTTATTTCCGAATTTCAATTACTGTAACCTTGCTTTTAACTGCTTTTTATGATATTTATAACACAGCTTTTAAGTTTTTACATCTCTTTGCACATGGCCCATTGTAGGCCACAAGCGATGGCCGATAAATTCTAAATGCGATCTATGAAATATAAATTTACCTTCATCCCGTCTTCTTTCCCACTCTTGATTAACTCATCTATCCGTTTCTTCTCCTCCGTCTATGAGATAGAAGACAATGCAGGGAGTTATTGCTACAAATTGAAAGTTTGTCTGTATTTTAGGCTGCCCAAGGTACAGAAATCACCTAGTTATGCCTAGTTTGGTAATCCTGAATCCAATTTAGGCAGGAAAGCCAACTGGGTGACTTTGGGCCCGTCACCAGGAGGCGGTGAGTTCTAGTCCTGCCTTAGCCAATGAAAGCTGGCTGGGTGACTTTGGGCTTCTCTCTGCCCAACCCACGTTACAGGATTGTTATGGAGAAAAAAAGGAGGAAGGAGGGAACGTTAGTATGTTTACTGTGTCGAGTTATTTATAAAAGTAATAAAGGCGGGAAAATATATAAATTTTAAAAAGCCAGTGTTATTGGAAGGAACATCCTGCGCAGAAACCCTCAACTCCTCGACACGTTGCTTTCTTTGTTTTAAAAACAGCTCTGCGGAGTAAAACAGCTCATTCCGTTTCAAAGAAACCTATCTTCTTCTTTTTAAACATTTTATTAAACAAAACAATTAAAACCATTGAACATGGTGAAGCCAGTTTGACGTGATTTTGGGTTAATATCGCATATATATATATATATATATATATATATATATATATATATATATATATATATATATTCTTTTAAACAATTATTCAACTATATACATATATACATTTGTTCGTTCATATAATACATTTTCTAACATCGTTCGTCTTCTTTTCATCTCATCCAATCACATACCCTTTCAACAATTCCTTTCCCAACTTAAGACCTTCCTCTCTGCTCTCACCAATGATAGAATTTAACCCAAATTGCGTAGTATGCTGATTCATCTTTGTTTTTCATTTCTAGAGTTAACTTGTCCATTTCAGCGCATAGTAAGATTTTGAGAAACCTATCTTCTTTTTTAAATCCTTGGCTATTCCTTTATCACTGAGGGCAAAGTCGGACTTGGGGCAATTTGGGAATTTGTATCATTCTTTAATAGACCTGAAAAGGAACACATTTGTTAGTAGTAAGAGGGAAGCTGTAAGACAGACCCATACCTGTAATTCTTTTTTATTCTTTCTGGAACTTCTTCTAACCGGATAATAGTCAGTTACTTTTCGGTTTGGGGGTGTTTTTCCTTGGCCTCTGAGATAGAGAGAGAAAAAAAACAAAACCAAACAGGTCAATGTGAAAGGACTGGGGCTTTCTCGTTGAATCCGGACGCTCCCAAAATTCAGAATTAAGTTACCCCCAAAAGCCTCCCCCCTCTTTAAAAGTTGGACTCACTTCCTTCGGGATGCAGGTTTTTTGCCTCCTTTGTTTGGGGCTTGCTTTTGGGTGGGGACCTCATTCGATTTGGCCGGCGGGACTTTCCGAGGTTCCGTCGGTTCGGGATTCGGGCTGGAGGGAGACGCTGAAGATTCACATTCAACGGCTTTGCTGTTCTGGCTGTCGGATTTTGCAACGCTGGCGGTCGAGTCACCTACCTGGACTCGGTCTGCAATTTGGGGGTGAAAAGGAAGAAGAAACTTAGCAGAAGAGTTCTTATATTTTTTTTCCCCCTTCGCACCTCAGAAAATTAGAAAGTATGCCGGGGTGCGCAGCCAACTCCCAGGAGAGAAAGGTATTTTTACCTTCCAGTTTTTGGCAAGTTTCGAGTTTGCAGGGTTGTCCTTTTATCTCGGGGTGCGTGGTGGAGTTTTCCTGTTGAAGCGGGGACCGAGAGGTGGAAATTTTACTGGTATTCACGTAGCTGTAGATTTTGGCTTGACAAGTGAAGATGTTCTCCTAAAAGGGAGAGATTGGAAAAATACCAGACCTTATTTGCTGTTGTTGGCTTCAGGAGAATTTGCTGCATAATAAATCTACCTGGGTTGAGCCGCAGAGCGTAGATTAAATTCAAAGGATGCCCGAAACCAGTGTTTCTCAACCTCTGCATCTTTAAGAAGCATGGACTTCAATTCCCAGAATTCCTTATGGCTAGAGAATTCTGGGAGTTGAAATCCATTTTCCTATGGAATTCTGGGAGTTGAAGTACACACACCTTCAAAAAAACACCATTCACAGCCAGCATGGATTCTGGGAATTGAAGTCCATCATTTTGCTAAGGTGGAGAAACACTGCCCTATGCTATAAGCCATAGGTTACAAACCATCCAGGTAAAGGAGACTGAACGCTCCTAGACAGTAAAACCCAAAACCAGAAGCTAGCTTGGATTTCTGAACCAGCACAACCCAGCATGTAACATTCAACTGGGATTAAAAAAAATAACACCCCATACTGAAAATATAATAAAAATACAGACTATAGTAAATACAGTACAGAGACTATAGCAAATACAGACTATATAGCAAATACAGCATAAATACGGGTTATAATAAGCACAGTATGCAGGGGTCTCCAACCTTGCCAACTTTAAGCCTGGAGGACTTCAACTCCCAGAATTCCCCAGCCAGCTTTGCTGGCTGAGGAATTCTGGGAGTTGAAGTCCACAAGTGTTCAAGTTGCCAAGGTTGGAGACCAATGCAAAATATAGTAATTATAGCATAAATACAACATATAGCAAATTAGCATAAATACTGATGCAGTAAATATAGTATAGGGGCTATAGTAAATATAGCATTGAAGAGAATATAGTAGATAGGATATACAGGCAATAGTAATAGTGTAAGCGCAGAATGTAAAAGTAGGATAAATACAGAATATAGCAATAAATACAGAATATAATTATAGCCTAAATATAGAATACAGCAAATATGTGTTTACTGGAGAAAAGGGGTTCCCAGGGGGACCCCATCCCCTCCTCGTGCCTGCCCACCAGCAAAGGCTGTCCCGCCCCAGTGCGGGACCACAAAGCCCATTCTCCCCAGCCAGCTGGCCCACCGGGAGGAGGGAAACCCCAGCCGTGCCCCCCCCTCCTCCCCATTGCCACCCACCCCCGGGGCTCGATCCCGCCGTGCGCCCCGGAAGGCAGGCCCTCCCCGGCTCTCGCCTTTGCGCTGCGCCCTGGGCGCACGGCGGCTGCCCAGCCCGGGCGCTCCTGGCCGGGAAGGAGAGCCGGGCGATCTGGGCTCTTACCCCGTTCATCCTGGGCCGGGCCGGCTCCCGCTTGTCTCCTCCTTCGCCGCGGCCGCCGCCGCCTCCTCCTCCTGCGGAGCCTTCGTCCACCGCCGCCGCCGCCGCCCTTCCCGGCTTGGGCTGGGGCATCTTCCGCCGGCCTGCGCAGGGCGAGAGAGAGAAGCGGCCGCTGCCCCGCGCGCTCATGGCCCGGCGGGCACAGCTGGCAGAGCGGCGGAGGCGGCCGGAGGAGGAGGAGCCGCCGCCGCCGCCGCTACTGCCCGCCCCGAGAGCCTCTCGAAAAGGCTGCGGGGCCCCAGCGCCAGGAGGCGCGTCCCGGACACCCGCCGGGCAGGGCGGCCCCGTTCTCGGAGCTGGAGCGGATCGCCCCCCCCCCGCACCCCCGGAAGATCCCGCTGCGGAAGAGCTGGCAGATCCCGCAAGGCGGGGTGGGCGGGGGGAGGGGATCCTCTGCTTTTTGCAAGGGGGAGACAAGGAGCTCCAGAGGATTCTCTTTTCTTTTCTTTCATCTCTGTCTGTCTGTCTGTCTTGTCTGTCTAGCATCTCTCTACCTCTCTTGGCTTCTATCTATCTATCTATCTATCTATCTATCTATCTATCTATCTATCTATCTATCTATCTATCTATCTATCTATCTATCTATCTATCTATCTATCTATCTAGTGTGTGTATCTTGTCTGTCTAGCATCTTTCTACCTCTCTCCGCTTCTATCCATCTATATCTATATCTATATCTATTTATATCTATATCTATATCTATATCTATCTGTCTGTCTGTCTATCTATCTACCTACCTCAATCAATCAATCCAGCTATCACCTATCTATATCTACCAACCTATATGTATCTATCCATCCATCCAACTATATCTATCTATATCTGTCTATCCATCCATCCATCCATCCAACTATCCACCCACCCATCATGGGGTAGAAAACACCAGTTTTGGCAGCTTTATGATGGGTGGACTTCAATACCCAGAATCCCCCCAGGTTCTGACCCAATGATTGCTGGAGCTCAGAAGTTTAGTTGGGGAATTCTGGGAATTGGAGTCCAAAGATCATAAAACTGTTAAAGTCGAGAAACAACAGCCTGGCAGATTTCCGACTTTCCTAAAGGAAAAAACAACAACAAAGGCTCAGAGCTATTCTAAGAATTCTTTTAATTTTCCCACAGAGAAAATTAGTAGCCAGATTCCTCAGACCTAAACCCCACGTCATTATCTTCCTTTGTGCCTCCTCCTGCAAGCAACCAGGAGAATTAAAAGAGGGGAGTGAAGGCTACAAAACCTAGAACAGACTCACACAAAAAAAGGCTGGATGCTTTTGAAAAACTAATTAGGGTGAGATCCGGTTGCTAGGGAGAGGAGACCACAAGGAAATCTTAAGAGGAGACTTGAGCGTGAGAAGCCAAGTCTTCAAACTTGACATCTTTAAGACTTGTGGACTTCACCTCCAAGAATTCCTCCTCCAGTCATGTCAGCTCAGGAATTCTGGGAGTTGGAAGTCCACAAGTTTTAAACTTGCCAAGTTTTGAAGACCCTTGATCCAGGTTAGGGGTGGGCAAGTCTTCCCCCACCTGCGGACTTCAACTCCCAGAATCCCTGGCCTCAGGTCATTCTTGGGACACAGCCCTGGCTTGGGAATTCTGGGAGTTGAAGTCCTCAGATCTTTAAAGGGGCCGTCCCTGCTTCAGTTTTGGACTTCAGTGCATATCCTCCTCCTTTCCCATCGCGCCCTCCCCCAGGAGACCCTTGCTCCTAGGCCCCCTCCCCATCCATCAGGACCCCCCAAACCATCATCCCCACCTCCCTCTGCATTACCTTTCGCCATGCTCCAACCTGCCAAAGGAACCCTCGGGAGCTTTCCTTCCTGTGACAGCCCGGCTTCTTCCCGGGGGATCCCCTCCTCCTCCTGTTCCCGAGGGGCTGCCAAGACTTTTCTCAAGGGGGGGGAGAGACCCCCCCACGCCCCCCTTCGGCCTGCCACTCAACCCCTCTCCGAGCTCCGGATTGGGCGGCGGGAGGGCGCTTCCCGGTTGGCACTCCTTAAAGGCCGAACAAGCAAGAGTTTGAAAATGAGCTTGGCGGGCGCTGATTGGACGGGGCGGCGGCGAGGCGGCGCCTGATTGGAGAAGGCGCGCCGCGCCTTTCTTCCGTCTTTTTTCTCCGGCTAAGAAGAAGGCCACGTGGGTGAGGGGGAAGTGGCGCCCGGCCGTTTCTCGCCTCCCGGAGCGGCGGCTTGTGGGAATCGGGTTATTCCTGGACACGTGTCGACGGCTCGGGGGTGGGGGAAGGCAGCCTCCGCCGGGGCAGGCCGGTTCCACGCGGGATACCCGGCTCCATCCTCGCCGCAGCCCCAGATTGAAGTCGCGAACGGCGGCCTGGAGCTTAGATGGCGCTTGCAAGAGGCGCAACGTGGGAATCTGTTCGCAGCAGCGGCGGCGGCGGCTTGCTGCGGTTTCAGCCGCCGCTTGCTTCGCTTTTGAAGAATAACGCCGTTTTATTCATTCTTTTAGCGTCAAAGCGGGGTTGTCGGTTGACTGCCGGTGGCGTTTTGTCTTGCAAAAAGTAGGATGTCAGGAACCCATCGTAAATAAACCGACCCTGTCAATAAATAAATTCAGTATCGCACTGGCTCTTTTATTGGAGACCACGATGGGTTAAGGTTTATAGAAGTTATAGTTGCTCCTCAAATAATCGCTATTTAAGCCTCACGTTTTGTCTTTTTTTCCCCCAACACCAAGGAAAAAAAATGCTGTAAATTCAGCCCCCAAAATAACCCCCAGTAACTGCTGCGCTAGCAACTGCAGCCTTTTTACTGCGCATGCGCAGTGCTGTCTGGCGGGGCTGTTGGTCCGCTGGATCTTCTTTTTCCCGTCATGCACCAGGGCCTCTCGCGATCCGAGAGACGTTGCGGCCGCTCCTCCTTGCGTGGCGACGTACAGCGCCGCCATCTTGGACAAGGCGTGTCACGTGACTCTCAACTGTCGTCTCCTCGACCTCCTCCTTGCCCCTCCCAACGGGGCAGAAAAAGGGAAAAAAAAGACGGGCCTAGATCAACTTTCGAGCCTTTGAAGCGCGATCGCCGTCGAACTGCTCCGCCTGCGAGGGGAATGAAGCGACCACAGAATCCGACCGTGATGAGGCGCGATGAGGCGCTGGAAGACATGCGCGCCTCCATTTTTTTTTTTTACTCCTCCTCTCCTTCCTTTCCCCCCTCCCCTCTCCTTTTCTTCAGGAACCAGCTTTTGCGCGCCGTCACGTGATCCAGCCGGCGAGACCACCTGATCGCGGAGGGAGGGCGTGAGCGGCGTCCTTGCGTCGCGCGTGCGCAGCGTCGTCCCCTTTCGCCTCGAGCTTGTGTGGGACGGGAGGGGGAGAGAAAAGAAGGCCTCGCGACGGTCACGTGGGCCTGGTTCGCCCGGCAACAGGAGGCCAAGCGCGACCCTGCCTCGAGGCGGTCACGTGGGGCGACGTCAACGTCGCCGCCGGCGTCCAATCCCTTCGCGCAGGCGCGCCTCCTCCCTTTCGTCCTCTCTTTTTACCCCCCCTCCTCTCCGCCCGCGGGAGGGAGGGAGGGAGGGAGTGCGCGAGCGGAGGGCGCGCTGGCCAAGATGGCGGCGGCGCGTTAGAAAGCGGCGGAGGGCGCGACGGCTGCTGAGGAGACGGCCGCGGGGAGGAAGCAGCGGCGGCGGCGAGGGCGCAGGAAGAAGAAGAGGAGGAGGAAGGAGGGAAACGGCGACCAGGAGCCTTCTCCGCGGGGCCCTCCCGACGCGGCCAGAGTGAGTCCCCCGCCCGGCTTCGTGGTCCGTGTCGCTGCCGCCTGAGGAGAAAAGAAGCGGCCCCGTCCGCACGGCTCCGCTCCTCTCGCCCCGCGGGGGCTCGTAAGGCCGGTCTCTCGTCTCCAAGGTGGCGGCGGCGTCTCCATTAGGCCCAGGGACGCGGGGAGGGGGCTTCTCCGCAGAAAGCGGGTCTCTTTTTTTTGAGGGGGGGTCTTTTAACCCCCTTCCCGGCCGCCCTCAGCCACCCCTCTGCATGCCTCAGTCGCGCCGGCAGGGTCCGGTTGGCTTCGCTGCTGCATCCCCAGGAAAGAGAGAGAAAGAGGCAGCCTCGCTTGGAAGCCTTGGGGGGGGGGAGAGAGACCCTAGTAGAAGTTCTCTCTATCCACACATATGTAAACACATGTGCCGTTTAATATTATACGTATTAAATAATGTATATGTGTAGGTGTGTGTTCGTGTTTTGACTGTTTAAGAAAGAGGCAGCCTTGCTTGGAAGCTTTTGCAGAGCGCCTCCCTGGCCCTTAACAGAAATTCTGCCTCTCTATCCACACACATATACACGTATAGTTTATTATTGCATATTAAATTATATACAATTTCATGTGTGTGTGTGTGTGTAGTTCGACTTTCTTAAGAAAGAAAGGAGCAGCCTTGTGGGAAGATTCCTCCCTGGCTCCCAATAGAAATTATCTCTGTCCAGACATACATGCACATGCAGTTTAATATTGCATATTAAACTCTCTCTCTCTCTCTGTGTGTGTGTGTGTGTGTGTATTTTGACTGTTTAAGAAAGAGGCAGCCTTGCTTGGAAGCCTTGTGAGGAGACTCCACCTGGCCCCTATTGACATACAGTAGAAAATCTCTCTCTCTACACCTATCTGTTCACACATGTATACATGTGCAGTTTGATGTTATATATTAAATAGTGCGTATATGGGTTTCTTTGTAGGTATACATGTATATATATATGTGTGTGTGTGTGTGTGTCTCTTAAGAAAGTGAAAGGTTTGCTTTGAAGCTTGCACAGGTGGGGGGGGGAGTACCTGGTAGGAAGAAGGGGTGGGAACCCTCCCCAGCTCCCATTCACACACACACACACACACACACTCTCTCTCTCTCTCTCTATCTATCTATCTATATATATATATTCTTAAGTTTTTGCAGGTACTTACATGTATGTTATTTAGCTTTGTTCGGGTATTTTCCCACGTCATTATAGTTGTGCTTTTAAAGTTGTAGCAACGTTTCGGCAGAATCTCATCTGCCATCATCAGGCATCTGTATTGTGTTCGTTGTGTTCGTATATATGTATGTAACATACACAGCATGTGTATACGGGTATATGTGTGTATATAGAAATTTCTCCAAATATGCATACACATACTGTATAACATACAATGATTAGTGTGTGTGTGTGTGTGTGTGTGTTTGTATTGGCGATTTAAGGTCAAAGGTGGCTGGGGAGGATCTTGGTGTGCACCTAGGGTGGGCCCTCTGCATCCTTGGGAAACTTGCAGGCCGTCACTCGCAGGGGGTGCCTACTTCTCCCAGCCCCTGTTTTCCTGCTTTTTTTGTTCCCAGACTGGGTGGAAAGATGCCTGGAGCCATAGGACCTTGATGGGTGGGAAGGCTGGAAAGTATGGATTCCCCCTTTTTTGCTAAACAAGGGGAGGGGGCCGCAGTTTGTTCCTCCTGGCTGGCTCAGGAGAAATGACTATTGTTTCCAGGTCTCTCTCTATTGGTTACCCTTCTCTAGCCCTGGAGGTTCTATGTGGTTGCTGCTGCTAACATGATTCATTTAGGTTGATCTATGGGGCAAATGTGGGGTCTGAGTGTTCACTTAGATCCAGCCCTATCCGGAAGTTTATCTTCTACAACACATGGCAGGAAGGCCACCTAGGGAGATTTATACAGTTTATTTTCTTTGTTACTATGTTCTGTTGCACCTCAGAGTCTTCAAGACTCTGTGACATTATTTGGGATTATCTGATTAGATTTTACATCCGGGCAAGGACAGTTGAGAAGATCTCAGGCAAGCAAACTGCCTGCCTGCCTGGTTGATTCTACACTCATTAAGCTTTTTTCTCCAGGCAAAGGCTGTGTTGGTTGTATTGACTGATGCCTAATTTTCTGTCCGTTTTGGAAAGTGTTATCTGTGTCTCACAAAGCAAATGCTAATTGTTTGGAAACCAATTCAGCTTCAAACCTTGAGGACTATCACTGCAATCTTCAGCAGAATGCCAGAACCTTTTTTTTTGATAGCACGCCTGGTCATATTTCTTGAAGGTCTTGAATTTTTACCCTGGCCACTAGGTTAGCAACTCAGGGCAGTTTGAACTTTGAGTTGCTACGTGTCTTTATGTTTGATTTTTGTTTCATACAACCCATTGAAAGGGAGTGTAAAAATCTACATGCCAGCATTCAAGCTTGAAAACGACACCCCCACCCCCACCAGCTGGTGGAAACTGGGATTGTTGTAGGGAGATAATCAAAGAAGCTTAAGCTGTAAATTGGAATGTGTATGTTGGTTTCTAGTACAGATTATGGTTCCTGTTTTTTTTTGGTTTTGTTTTGTTTTTTGTTTTGTAATTCCTGGTAGCTCATGGGCCAAAGACAGAGGCTTCCGGTCTTCTTGGCTGACCACAGAGAAAAGGAACTAAACTTAATGTGAACAGTGACAATTTAAAAAAAACAAAAAACCACCCTCTGCTCCAGCAGAGTGTTTAATGTGATATGGTTTGCCTTCTAGTAACAATCAAGGAAAATTTACCTAGAAAAAAAAAGATAAAGCAGAACTCCCTCTGTGAGGCAGATGGGCAGTTCCTAAATTTTTTAAACAAATAAAAGCGAACTATTTTTGGTGGGGTAGCTAATGGTTGCATGAGAGTTAAAGGTAATCTGGGTCTGTGGTATTCTTAGGTTCAGGGGTTACCTTCTCCAGCACAGTCAGGCTCTGATCCTATCTGCTGTTATGCTCTGAACATTAATGGGATATTCTCTTTAGAGAAAGTATTGGAGAAGAGATTTAACAGAATAACAGAACTGGAAGGGGCCTCGGAGGTCTTCTAGTCCAACCCCCTGCTCAAACAGGAAGCTCTATAACATTTCAGACAGATGGTTGTCCTATCTGGTTTTCATTCA